GGGGGGGGGTCGTGACACATTGCCTACCCATCAGGCGTCTTATTAAGGGCATCGTGACCCAGACCCCCTTGACACGCTCCTTCCCGCTCCCGCCTACTCAATCGAGTGTAAAGGCTAATACATACTCCCCAGTGTTGCGGGTTTGCATACCCAAGGGGCCAATGCGCCTTACGGGCAGATCGGGTAGGCAAACCCGCATCACTCTGGTGTATTGCCTTTACAGACGGCACAGACTGTCCCATACTCGATGTCAGGGGCCCCGTACTTTTGTTTTGGTTATGCTGTTCCGCTTCCACGCGTGTGGGCGGGTTGCCCACTCACTCGGCGCTTTTAACAACGACAACCAACGGACCTGGACAGGGTCTAACATAAGTGGGAGGAAGGGGGCAACATGCAATTTTTTCTTTGCACACTTACAGGGATATGTAGTGCATTTTTCATTTTTCCTGCAGGGGAGACCTGTTCGCCCTTACCCCCCTTACCCCGGGTCCAATCGGGCCAACCGCCAATACACCGGCGATAAAGAGATCATTGTTGCAGCCTGGCTTAAAATGAATGAGCGCTTTGGCAGATTTGAAGTTATTGGACCTTAGGGAACTAGTCCGTGCAGATCGCAAGTCTGCGATGGCAGTTCTTGCCCAGAGGCAAAGGCGTCATGGACCCACCGTCGTAGTGACGCACACGATGAAAGAACTAGACCGCGCTCAGTTCGCGCACTTCAACTGCCTTTCGCATCCGAGCTGAGTTTACAGGGTGGCGGAGAAACAGCCAGGCGAATAACCATCATCTAAATCGCAAAGCCATCTCTATCAGATCTAGATTCACGCAGCTGTTCCGTTGTTCCTCTTGCCGCCTTCCTGAGCTCGGTGCTGACGTCAAACGCCACCCGACCTACAGCGTGTGTAGTCCCGCCCCGCTGCCCGCGGGCCGGGCCCCGCGCACGCAGAGGGCAGCCCATGGCCAGCCACCTGTGCAGCATATCGCCTCTGGTTGAGCCCTACATTTTTCTCCTCTCCGCCCATCCTGGCCTGTTCCAGGTGATTCCAGGCGCAGCTCCAGGTCGGAGCATTCGGTCGTCAAGGACGAGTGAACACTTTGGAAACGCGCGATATTTCCAGGAATCTGAGGCAAGTGGGCGGGGGAGGAGGACAAATTGGTATCCGGAGGGGGTACGAGATTGGGCGGGGGGATGGGATGGGGGCACCTCAAATGCCCTTGTCTAATTTAAGATGGCTGGGCGAGCAAAGGATGCAGACGCGCATCAGACAAGAAGGGACGTCGGTACCCAACCAACACACCTAATGAGAGAGTGGGCCTATTTTAACTCCAGTTCCATGAATTTTCTTGTGTTTACATCCGATGGAGGGCGATCGGAGTCGGAGAGCTCCCGAGGGGCGGGGAAGGAGAGGAAGGGGGGAGGGGCAGTACCCCGTCAGCTGTTAGGGAGCGGCCGTGACGGGGAGCTCTCTGATCGTCGTCCACAAAAGAACAGTCTAGAAATTTTTTGCGGTTTCAATTAAGGAGGAAGTGGGCAAGTGTTTAAAAACAAAAAGTGCACATTATATTTTTTTTTTGATTTCTCTAGAATATTCCTTTATTTTCAGTCAATTTGTAATTTTATTTTAATAAAATACCTATAAATATTTTTGCATAATAATACTAATGCTGTTAAGTCAGTCTTTTCAATACGCTAAGAACTAAAAAAAAAAAAAAAAACAAACATAGTTGTTGTCCCAATTAAAATATACAATGCAGATCTTAAATGTTTCATTATGTAAAACTTTTAGTGAGCAAGGTTGTTACAACACTGAGAAGGAAGTACACTCCAGTCATAGTCGTAAGCAGGCCGTTTTTCAAATTCAACTTTGCACAAGCGCCCATTGTTTGTTAATGTTTCGTGAGTATTATAAATTTCAGAGATTTCCTGGGGATGAGTGATAAGATACTGGTTAGAGCACCCTCTTGATGCCCACTCCGTGTCAAACCGAACATCATGAACACGAGTGACATTAAGGGGTGCAAGCCATGCTCCAACTGCAACATCTTCATTCTTAAATAGGCTGTAAATTAGAAACACACAAAAGAATTTTCAATTGTATTGGGAAAAACAAAGTATAGGGTTAAAGCAATTAAATAGAATACTCACTTTAAAAGCAAATAATTTTGAGCCAAATAATGCACTAGTTGTCTTGAAATAATATATCCACCTCCTCTAGCATATGGCAGATATCGATCACATAAATTCCAACTGGTTTCCTTCCATTTTCCCTTTTGACGGACCTGAGCCCGACCATTAAAATATCCCCAATACAATTTGTCGGCATCAGCTTTCTGCATCAACTCTTTCATCAGATTTCTAATGTTGACGTAACTATCATCATCCACTTTCAAAACAAAATCAAATTCGAAATTGCTGTCTGCCCATGACAATGAAACAAGTAATTTCTTTGTGAGCAAATTGTAATCCTCCTCAACTTCAGGGAGAATTAATAAATCGGAATAATGTTGATGCTCTATCTGCAATTTATTTAGCTCATTCTTAGACATGGATTTGGTACCAATTGAGAATAAGTATTTAGCGTGATCATGATCAATGAGAGATAACCATGTTCGTCGCAGGGCATGTCTTTTTTCAACATGATCAGGAGCAGATAGAATGATTATGAGTAATGTTTTCTTACTAGATTTAAGACTGACACTCTGATCCTTTTTCATCAAGTACACCTGGTCATCAGATTCCAAACAATCCGATGAGCTAATGAAAAAAACAGTGAACGTACAACCAATGAAAAAACACAGAAGGTACCAAAATAAACGAGTTCCTAACCTATACGGTTTGGTTTTAGATATTAACAATGGCGTTGACATCGACATCGAATAAAAATATGCCCTCAGGGGAACATAAATGCTGTACGCTTAATTGGTGAAGTGATGGCCCGACTGACACTCGTACTATCAGTTCAAATACACCGAAATGTCTCTTTACATTTGACCTAAGCAAAAGTTTTCTATCAACATCAACACAAACTTCTCATATCCTCTTAAAACTGTTGACAACAATGAATTTCTCATAATTACCTTTAACAACAAGTTTTAAGGTTAGGGTTCTTTATTTTGTTCCATCCTGTGATGACAATTTACATTTGAAAACGTTAAGGAATGTCTCTCAGATGACGTAAAATGTCAAGTCTAATTTAGATGAAGTGGTAGTAACATCATGGCAGTGATGGGGGACTTCAAGCAAAGGTTTTCAGGACTGCTAAACAAATTGGTTAGTTTTTTGTGTCACTTGTCAGACTGTTACATTTAATTGCCCCCTTTTCTTTGTCATAATTTTATAATCATCATCCTCATGCAATATTGTCGTCCCCTCTTAGTCGTGCATGCATTTAAGATTTGTGCTAGTTGGTACAGATATCTGTTGTCCACTGCCATATTCTGGCTCCAGGTCTTGCATATGTTCCCATCAAATGCCATACTTCTATTTTCGCAGGGGAACCAATCAAGATTATCACTGAGCAGTCCTTCTGAGGAGATTCTAAAGCCGATCACAAGTGAAAGCAATGTTAATACTATCAAGAAGGAGGACGAGAAATCTCTCGAACACCCCATTGAAATTCTGTCTGACGATGAAATTTTGGAGGCAGTAGAGAAAGATTACTTCAAAGATACAGGTTTTGATCCGAGCAGGCACGAATTGAAGGTTTGTTACTTTAATTTAATTTAATAATTTTCCATAATATACTAACTCTCTAAAGCTGTTAGTTTTATTTTTTTTACAAACAAAGAAAATTGGTCCAAAGCTTAATTGTGAAGAAATTTTAGTTCAATCTGAACGACTTCATAGACAACAGAAAGTTGTATCCAAAAAGGTGTTGTCACAAATTCTAACGAATCAAAGGGCCTGTAATGAGGAATTTGAAAGGTACAAATTCCAATTTTGCCATAATGTGTTGGATGTTTTCTTTTGTTATAAGTTCCTTAGTACTCAATTGACTCATTTCTATTAATTGTCTAGAATTCAAAATCTGCAATCGCTCCTGCGAGAAACATTGATTATCTGTCGAGATGGGCGGTCCAAACTGAACATGGGTAAACAGCAGCTAACCACCACAAGTTTAGGCATACTTGCTAACTACCGCAAAAGACAATTACTCCGAGATCTACTGAATTCGTTGAATACTATTAAAACACTTGTGAGTACAAATCACTAAAATTTTTAGTTCAGTTAGATAAATTCTAACGAAAGACAAATTTACTTCAGGCCACCACAATGGTCTTAAATTACATATGTATTTCTTTTCACCCATCTTAGCAAAGATCTGAGGAGCACATCCAGGTTTTATTGAGTGAAAATAGGTATGAAGATGCAATCAGCCAATTGCTTGAATGTCAGTCTGCTGCTGCTTCTCTGCGGCGTTTCGCTTGTGTAGCAGCTTTGAGTGGTAAGCTTCAAGATACACTAGTCATGACCGAAGAACAACTGGATGTGGCTTTAGGAAAGGTAAATATTGTAACCTACCAATTTTGATGTAGGTATAGTTTTTGTGTAATGTGTAATGGTCCTTATGTTCATTGCCTTTCCTTAGTTTTCTTTGTCTTTGCGGATCAATTGCCAAGAAAGAAGTTAAGTCATTCTAATAAACACTTTCCTTTCCTATTAACAGATTTGTGAAAAATTTGATGAAACATTATATGGGCAGCTGCAAGCAGCCTATGCCCAGTTAGGCAAGACTCAAGCTGCAATGGATCAACTACATATGCATTTTACATCTGCTATCCAGAACACAGCTCTGAAAGTTATTAAGAATTTTGTAGGCAAATCTGTACAGGGTGCAATTACCAGTGGCAAGCAATACAATGAGCTGTGTAAGGTGTGTACCACCTAGTCTTCTAATATTTGTAAATCAGTTGTTTTTTTTGGTGTTTTTTTTTTTTTTCAATTTAAGTGATGACAGGAAAATTTAACTGTGTATTCTAATTGTGTTTTTTTTCCCCCATTTTTTACTTGCTTAATTCTTTCTGAACAGAATGTTAAAGAAGAAAATTTCATTCCTTGTTTACAAGAGCTATGCACAAGTTTATGGAGAATTGTTTGCAGTCATCATAGAGTTGCTCTTTGGCATCAGAAACATTTACTTGACAGCAGCTCAGCAAGTAAGAATTAAAAATCACAGTAATTCTTTAAATTCTTTGAAATTACGCTTTTGGGTACTATGTCACGAATATATCCATGCACATTTAGACAAGGGGACTGAATTGGAAGTGAGCTTCACAAATGAATACATCCGACAGAAAATGGAAAGCATGCAAGCTAGAATATGGCATGATGTGCAAGCTCGCTTTTCTACTTACCTCTTTTCAAGTGACCTAGCTTCATTCAAATTTGACAACTTTCTTCAAGTCTTGGGTCTTGTGCACAGGTACTGAAAACTAGTCATGTTTTAATTGGAAAGTAAACTAGTGCCTCTGCCTCATAGCATCAGATAATACTTGTCTAATTGTTACTTTTTTCTAGATTAATGGAAGTTGGAGAAGAGTTCTGTGGCAGTCAGTCAGAAGAACTGCAGAAGTCAGTTAGACTGCAAAGTGAAAATTATTTTGGAAAATATCACGTAGGTTGTTTGGAGGAGCTTCGTATTTTCCTAGAAAATGAAAGCTGGACACATTGCCCTGTGAAGAATGACTTCTCGTGCCTACAGCTTCAGGTATATTGTGCCTGTCCAGTCTATGGGCTTATCATGTTAAGATTATTCTCTGAAATTTGTTTTTGATTTTAGGAATTTCGCTCTTTGAGAGGTGTAATTCAAAATATTCACCTGCATGAGCAACAGAAGCTACAACAGAGCCCAGACAGTAGTAACCAATCCCAGGATGGTAGTTCAGTTGCTGGAGGATTCTTTGCTAAATTTGCAGAATCTGGCACTCCATTTGATTTAACAACCTTTGATTTGCAAGAAGAGGACATTCTTGCAAACATTATTGTGAGTAAATTTTTAATTATTTTTAAAATGATTTGGAGGGAATCGAGTATTTTAGTTGTGACAAAAACTAATACATTCTCATTGATTCCTCTGTCGACAGGATGAGCCTTCTGGATACTTCAGTGATGATAGCGATGAGGATGTTCCTGAAGAGCTGAGAGGGGATTTTGTTGATGAAGGTCATGGTGAAAATACAATGCATTCAAGGTTAGTATTGTAGTAATATATTCTTAAGCTGCCAATATGAAACCGATGCATTTTCTAATCTATAATTGTGATAAGTGTGATTGTTGATTCAATGATTCTGTATTTGGCCAGTTAAGTTTAGGTAGCTGATTCCATGTCATTGTGGAATATAGTCAGTGTGGGGTGTTAGTAGTACTAGAAGTTTAGGAAGGATCTTTTCCTACGACATTAAATGTTTCTCTTACATTTTCCTTCAGCGAGGAGCTTGAAGTTCAGTTTGAAAACTGTGAACGTGTACGTTTTGAACCCAAAAAGTGAGTTTAATTTATTAGTTGAAATATTAGGTAAAAGTATGCTCTGAAATCATTAATGAATGAAGGAACTGTATATGTAGAACTTCAAAATAGGGATTTTAAAATTAATGAGATGTTGCATGTGGAGTGGCAGCATGCAGGGCTTTTTCCCTGTGTGGGTAGCAATGTTTTGTTTTCATCTTTGTACTACTGTATGCGTATTTACCTAAATGGTGCCGTAGTAATTTTCCTCGAGTACTCTGGTATACTTTTTTATACCTTACAATTTCAATTTAAAAATTTCAGGGCAACTAGAGGAACCAAAGGACGCTCTCGGCCGCCACAGGGCCCATTACTTACAAATACTACATTAACTGTTTTAAGGCATTGTGGAAAGTATTTACAAATGAGTCGACTATTACGCACTGTTGCAATGGATGTCATAATATGCTTGACCCAGCTCTTTCAGTATTATCTTTATGCAGTGCACACATTCTTCACATCTGATTTGGTAAGAACACATTTTCCAGAGTGTGACTTTTATTACTGATAATTCGTTTTATACATACTTATTATTTCCGGTTAATGTCGTACAAGGAACTGTCATGGTACTGCATTTTTAAAAATTCGCGGCGAATGTCGTGGATCGTTGGCCTCCGAACATTCACCGTATACAAATTTTAAACACATTTTTTTTTTTTTTTTGAATTGCAAAATTAATTGGAGAATCAAGTGGATGATACAAAGCTTATAACTGTGGCAAAAACTGAGAAATTGAAAAGATTTTGTGTAAACTGGTTCTACTTAACATTTAATAATACAATTATTATTAGTTAAGATCTTTGTGTTGAAAACTTGGTGATGGACAGTCCTATATTTTACCTTTTTCTTTCTAGACTGTTGATCAATCAAGCCTATACAGTATAAAACTTCAAGCTACATTAAAACGAATTAACACTGACTTAATTCGTCCAGAAAAACTTCCAAATAGTCTTCAACAAATAAGTCATGATGACAAAAAAAAGGTACTAATTGTGTTTTCAATAATCTAGTTACATCGATTCAAAGTGAGAAATGAACTATAATTCTGGTAACTGCAGTATTTCTTTAGATTTTATTTTATAATTTCAGGTGCCTCAACCTCACATATCTCCCATTGTTAATCTAAATAATGCAGAAAGCTTATTTGGGTTATCAGAACGTGTAGTGGCTGTTGAATCTTTAATATTCTTGGCAGAGCAACTGGATAGTCTGCGACCTTACTTGGAATACTTGGTCCGTCATGAACCAAGGAAACACTTGGTTCAACAATTTTATTTACAAGTAAGAAATTACTAGGAAAAACTGATCTGTAATTTTGACTTGACTTGTTAACTCACAATTTTCAATCTCCAACTTTGTAGATGGTCAGTGTGGCCTCCGACTTGAGATTACCTGTATATGCTTGCATATCTTCAAGGACACTTGATCTACGCTCCATGTTAAACATGATGGGACGTGTTAATTGGGAAATAAAAGAGGTTTCAAGTCAACACAGTCAGTATGTTGATTTCATTTTGCGGGTAAGAAAAAAATGAAAATACTGACAAGCTCCAATGTAGCTTTTTATTTGGCAGTTAATTAGTTCTAATCTGATTTTTTTAAAATAAATTTTTCCTCAGGAGATGCAGATTTTTAGTATGCGTTTAGAGGAGGTGGCCTCTCATTTATTCATTTCCAAAGATGTCTATGATACCCTATGGGAAGCTTTAATTATTGTTTGCTGTAACACTTTTGTAGAAGGGTGAATATCTTCTAAAACTGCTCTTTTACATGGATCTATTTAAATGGTAATGAAGTATTTACTTTTCTTTCTTCTGTTTCTTATAGATTTTCTAATGCAAAGAAGTGTGCAACTGGTGGGAGAGCTCTTATGCAACTTGATTTTACTCAATTTACTTCAAAGCTCCAAAAACTTACTACCTTACGTCCTATTCCGTACAAGGAGTTTGTTGAAGTTTATGTTAAAGCTTACTACCTCCCAGAAGAACTTTTAGAAAAATGGATTCGAGAACACACGGTGAGATTTTTATAGTTTGTGTGTTGCTGTATGAAATTTCATTTGAAGTCTCAAAATGTATAAGCTAAATTAATTAATCCTCTTTCTAGCAATACTCAAGTAAACATCTTCTAACTCTTGTGCATTGCACTTGTCAAAATAATAAGAAGACTCGCCAAAGACTGTCAGGTGTCATTGAAGAGCTTGAACGTCTTGGTTCAATTAAGTAGAATTTTCGTATATCAAAGGTTTTCAATTTTAAAATCTCTACAAGAGGAACTGAAAATGAAACCCATTTTATTTAAGTTGAAAGGATCTTAATTATCCTTGTTAAGAAAGATGTATGCACTCTATGAATACCAAAATGTTTTTCTAATGTCATTTTGTGCACTATTATCAGTGAAGTTTTGACCGTGATTTATATTTTTTGGGTCCATTTTGAATACTCTGTGATTTTTACTGATAGTTTTCAATCTGATTTACATTATGTACTTAAACTTTTTGAATAAGCACTTTGGCCTGAGTTAATGCTCATTACAGAAACTACTTTGATTTTTAAGGGTTTCATGGAAGTGAGTACATTTGCATGCTCCCTTCCATAGAAAAATTACTTAGTCATTTGGTTTAGATCTGTTTCCAAGTTATCTGTCTAATTTTTGGAGGGCTACTAGTAGTAGGTTCCTTAAGTTAGATTGTCTGTCAAATCTAGAGAGAGAAATAAATGCTTAGTTATAACTTTTTTCTTTCTGTGAATACTCATTCATTGTGTTTTTAGTGTTCAAATAAGCATGACATGCAATTTGGGGGGTAATGATCTGATTAGTTTGTATGCTGTTGAATGAATAATATTTTTTTTTTAAAGTGGAGATGGTGTAGGCAAGGCATTCCATATTTTGTTACTGAATTCATCCACACAATTTGGAGTTCCTTTTAAAACTTTTTCCCCCAAGGCTGATTGGCTGCATGACATGGTAGTAGAAACTTCCACATGGATTTTTCTGCATTATAAATTTTAGCATGTACTTGATTATATTAATGAAATAATTCTGATTTTGATACATAATCTGTAAATAATACTGTGCATGACAGTATGATGATTGTGGTGGTATGTTTAGTAAAAGCGTGTTCCCTCAATGTATGCTATTTGCATGGTTCAAGAATTTAATTGTTATACTACTAAGCAAATGAAAATGTCAGATTTTTAACAATATGTATGAGATGTTACTGTATTTATTTTTGTTATGTGTATCAAAATGTATGTTATCCTTACACCACCTTTTATCAAAGGGTGGTAATTGTTGTCATCTGTTGAAGATGTACTGACTTATCATTCATACTGATTTGTTGACTTTCATGTGGCATGGCTAAAACTGAACTCACATTCCCAATGTAGATTGATATGAAAAAGAATATTAGAATACATTTAAGCATATTGTGTTTTTATCCAAAATTGTTTCTCTTTTTGTGTTATCCAAACTTCCCCTGAGATCACTTACTTTAACCTAGGTCTTTCCTTTACCTTTCTTTTTTGTCCCTTTCTGTCCTATTTTCCCCTTTCTCCTCTTCTTTTTTTTCTTTTTCTTGTCCTTTTTAGGTTTTGTTGTCCTAATGCCAGCTCTGAAACTAACTCCTCTCCACCAAGCTTGAATAGCAATAATACTCTTCATTACAGTCTTCTTTTCTTCATATTGTGCTCTTAGCCCAGCAGCTTCCCTTACTATTTTAATACGACGTCTGTCCTACAAAAGGATTTTTCAGTCAGCTGTCTGTTAAAAACTGGGCGCATATGATCTTTTCACACTTACTTCCTCTACGAGCTCCCTTCGCTCCTCTTTTTGTTGTTCAAGTTTACTCTTCAGTTGCATATTTTCTGTCTCTCGCTGCATCATTTCAGCATCATACAGGTCAGTCCAGTGATCCAGATCCTTTCTTAGTATCTGGAATTTTACACTTCTCAAGAAACAGTATTCCATTTGCCAACACATCTCTCGATTTCTACTGACCTCCGTGTCTTTTTCTAGAAAACGCATAACTTCAGTATGAATGCGCTCTTCATTTGGTCCATCTGGATCTTGAATTCGTTCTATTGCATCATGAAGTGTATCCTCTTTGTGGCCCAGTACAAGTCCTTGTTGTTCTCGTCTATTGTGTTCCCAAGCATTTGCATATGAAATAGAAAGTCCTCCAAGCAAGTAAGTGTCATGTAAGTTACTCTACAGTAAAAAAGAGAAGTTTTACACGTCCATCATGGGAAATAAGTAAAAAAGCTGCTTGAATTTAACTTCAATTCTTACCGTCAATAACTCTGTCTTGTCCTCCCAAAATGTTTTCTGATCCAGCATGTTCTTCCGGTCATTGGAAAGCTGTTTTAACAGCTCTTGTCTTCTTTCTAGTTCCTCTTCATGCTGCTCAAGCAATTTGTGTTCATCTGCTATCATAGCACTATGCCAATCGAGAGATGTGCGTAAAGTTGAAAAGCTGCCAGTGTCCCGAAGTTCTGCTAAAACAGCATCCAAAATTCCCCCACAAAACTGGCTGCCAGGTAATTTCCATTATAAAGTTTCATTCAATGATTTCTGTTCTGTGGCCACAAACAAAAATATTGGTCTTCAATCTCACCGATCGCGTTGAACCTTCAGCAATGCCTCTGTTTGTGAAGGCCATCTCCCAGCCATCTCTGGATACTTTTTCGGCAAAGGTGGCTGTTTACCAAAGCGAACTTCTAAATCTCTGAAGTTTTCATTCCAGTCTCCTTCAATCTCAGGAAGGGTTTTTCCTAGAACGGTCAGCTGGTCAACAGCATTCTCCAGTACTGAGGCTACTGCCCGCGCCTCTAGCTGATCCAATTGTGGACGATAGCGTTTTCCAAAACACAAATGAGAAATCTTATGAGTTGGTTCAGGCTCTTCCCCAAAACACAGGTGAGACTCCTCACATATGATTGACATTGTGATCTGTTCTTTTATCCACTAGTTAACACTAGTTTACCATTGTCCTGAACTACTGTTTGACTGCATTGTTGTTGGCTGTTGCATAGAAAGGAAACTTTCCATTGTTACAAGTAGAAATTGATTTTTGGCATACTCTACATATTGTATTGCATAGATATTAAATAGATTAATAAAAAAAAAATAATGACAATAAAAAATATTGATGGGTGTGGTTCAATAAAAATTTATATTTCAAGATCAAGTCATCTGAAACATTTTACAATTGGTTACCAAATGGATCAAAAATTAACATTCCAGTCTGTTTGCATAATTTATCCCATAGTAGGAGCATATTTTTTAACCATGTCACGATAAAGTTGAAAAATTTCAGTTGAAGCTGTTCTACATCTTAGAAGGGCTTCCTGATACTGAGCCTCAGTAAATCTTCCATGTGTGCTTGAGGACACTATATTTTTATCCACATTATCAAATGCAAACATTAAACTGGCACAAGAGTCCTAAAAATTAAGAAAAGTAGTGTCAGTCTATTTGTTTCATTAACTTGACCAACATTCAATGGTCGCAGCTTGATGAGGACAAACCTTTAACTGTTTGTTGTCTGGATCTAATATAACTTCACCAGTTTTATTGATCATGCAATGTACTGCAGCAACAAGAAACTTCATTGACAATCCTGAATTCATTAGTGCTAAACACCCTGCATTTATAGCACAAGCAAGTAACTGGAAAATACATGAAATAGATTTTAAGAATGTTGTTTCCATTGAAGTACACAGCTACTGTATTATTAAAAACTTACTCCTCCAGAATCCTGCATTTCCTGCACTGATATGGAGATAAGAGTTCGGGGGTACTGTGATGTTAGGACCGCAGCTTCAAAAGTATTTTGCAATGTTGTCTCACATAGACGGTCAGATACACCTTAACAGAAAAGAAGATCAAATGTTAAGTTCCACCATTTGATGGCTAAAGGGAAAGTACATTACGACACAAAAATATGATGGTTTAAACTAATGTGAAAGATATACATACACGGTAATCCACTTTTAGGGCGATATATCCCCTCAACGGTGGCTTTTTCAATGTGTATTTTATTTGGCTTCACTTCAATGGGTCCATAAACTCCAGCGATAGCGGCAGTTTCACCTTTCAGACAAAGAGACATGACTTCACCTACTTCTGATCAAAACATGTGACGTCCAGGCCAAACAATTTTCGGACATTAATACAATACCTTGAGTAACAATGGCACTTCCATCTGGTCTACTAAGTACGTTTAATTCACAGTAGAATGGTCTTAACTTATGATCTTCTCCTGAGGCCTGACCTGACATATCTGCCATCTAGTTGTGATAAAATATAGAGGAAAGAATTCAATAACCTGCTGTTGCGATTTTCAATTCACTGGAAAACCTAACCTACAACCCACGTACGTAAACAACGCCGTTATTGGCAGCTCACGAAATTACGTTATATAGAGTTCGTGCAATAGCGATCCGTTATGTTTGGACCGAGTCACTGCCGGTGAAACGACAGATAACTTTCTGAGTACAGCAGAAGACGCAAGTCGGAGTTTTAAGTTACCAAAACACGTGAATTTTATGGTTAAGATCTCCTATGTGTTTAAACCGAGGACCGAGGAAATACTCGAGTATTGTTATTGATCAAGATATAATAAAGAGCCTAACCTCTGTTTAGATCTGTGACAACGGCGTCGAGGCGCGGCAATTCAAACTGGGAATGAGGAACGTACAAGATAAATTGTGTTTTTAAAAGCCCATTCACGAAATACTGTCTGACAAATGAATATAATTCATTGAATATATTTGTAGGGGCTGATTTAAAACACGCATTCAGCGGAAAAGTAGAAAGGAAGTTCTGGAATGCCCCAATAACTCTTTATAGGCGCTGGCTGATGTGGTACTCAAACGTCGACTCTTTTCATACTTCAGTATCTCAATATTTCGCATATTGCACGTACTCTATACAATGCAGCTTGCATCGTCTGCTTGAAGATGTCTTCTGCTTAGAGTGAAGACCTAGCCGTCGTTTTTACACATCAAAATTGGTGGAATTGATATTAACTTAAATTCTGTTGAATGAGAAGTGGTTGGAAAAAACGGAGTGCACGTTGTGGAGGCCCTGAGGGTTCAGTCAAATAGACCTGAATGTTTGTACTTGGGATTTATTGATTTTGTGACAGGTGTACACTTTAACTTTATCAGTCTTGACTTATAAAGGAAAGAATATTACAAAATGAGAGCCATTGCGTGGTCTGTGTGGGTGTTCATTAACTTTGTTTTCCTCGGCATGTGTGGCTTCTTTTATGTTCTCTGCTCTCAGTATTGGGGTTATGTGGAGAAAAGACATGCTTATATGGATACTTATTACAATAAACGTACTAACATTGGTCAACACCATATTCAGTACTATGCGGAAACTGACAACCATTCGGACCACTTGAGGCAAGTTATAGATAATAAAGCTAATGATGTATATCCTGAAAGAAAAGTTCGTGCATCACCTTTAGCCCGTGATCGTCATGAGTCACAACGAAGTTCAGAAAAAAAAGGGGCCACCCCGGTTGAGCCTACAAGTAAGACAGACAAAGTTAATCAAGCATTAAATGAAAAAATTTCTAAACATAAGAGCCAGTTGATGATACAGCTTAGAAGAGTATTGCATGATGAAAGCAGTGTATTTAAAGCAAGAGGTGAAGGAAGTAATCCATATAATGTAGAGTATGTCGGCCCCAGAGGACCATATGATAAAAAGTCTGCCCGAGAGTTGGTGTGTTCTCTCAAGAAGAAAGGACTGATAAAGATGATCCAGAAGGAAGATGAGCCTTTTAAATCAATGGGCTTGGGAGTTCAATTTCCCATTGAACCGGTGTTTGAAGATGATAAGATATTTGAGAGTTGTGCAGTTGTTAGCAGTGCAGGCTCACTCCGTGGATCAGAGCTTGGAGAAACTATTGGTAAGGACTGGTGAAAAAACTAGTAACTTAAGAAATATATGAGGAGGATTACAATGATGTTACACTTAGAATTGTTGGTGATGAGATTTTTCTCCTATTCAGATAAGCATGATGTTGTGCTACGCTTTAATCATGCTCCAACTCATGAATATGAAGTTGATGTAGGACGCAAGACATCTGTACGCATTGTAAACTCCCAAGTTATTTCAAAACCAGAATTCAATTTCTTGGAGTCACCTCTTTATAGTAATATTAAAATTGTTGCCTGGGACCCATCTAAATACAACCACTCAATGGAACAGGTAATGCTTTGAATTATGCTTTCACTAGAATAATCAGTACTGTTGCTGTACCTCCTTTAACATTTGCCCTCTCTCATACAGTGGTACCAAAATCCAGATCATGACATCTTCACCTCATACTTCAAACACCGTTCGTTGAAACCTGAAACAAATTCTTATATTTTAAATCCAACATCCCTTTGGGATCTTTGGGACTACATTCAAGCTCACATGCCACTCCGTATTAGACGTAATCCACCATCATCAGGATTTCTGGGTATGTGGAGCATGAAAAATCAGAACTGTTCTATTACATCAGGGACATATTTGTCATCTTTATGGTTTCTTCTCAGGTCTGGCTCTACTGCTACCACACTGTGCACATGTAGATATGTTTGAATTCATACCATCATTCCGAATGACAAAAAGGTGCCACTACTATGACAATTTGGATGATATTTCCTGTACTTTTGGTGTATGGCACCCTCTCTCTGCTGAGAAGTTACTCCTGTTATCCATGAACATCGCAAATGAAACAGAAGTTTTTCGTGATGGGTACATTCGGATTCCAGGTTATCAAACTCTGGGATGTGGGGACTAAATACTTGTTACATACTTCTTCAGTATTTGTTTTTAGTATAAAATATCCAAAAGACTAAAAGTTGATCAATTGTAAGATTTTTCCGCTTGTGCCAATACTGTATTAATTTTGTCTTCCTCTCTAAGCAAGTGAAACATCCAAGTTATACTTTTGTTGCACAATACTTGCTCATTTATGCATGATTCCTTAGTTGTTTTTTTTTTGTAGATTATAGATTATTTCTCTTGTGAATTTTTTAAATTTCTAGTCATAATGTAGAGCCCTGTGATATTATATCATTGAGTATCACCAACATTTTATTAATAAAAGTTTTGTTAACTTTGTCATGTAGTTTTTAAATTTGAGGCTGTGTTTCACATGACATTCATTGGTGCTGGTCACCATCAGAAACATACCATTCATAAATTGATTTTTCAATTAAATCTCTATAATTGTGATATTGAACCTTTCATGTTATTTAATGTTACTAACTCTGACCTTTCTTTGACCTTGTAAATGTAATGTCTTTGACAACAGGTCATCAGTAAGTAATTGTTAGTTAGATCTGTCTGTTGATTCAAGGGCAGTTTCAACTCATGTGCAAAGATATTGTCAAAATAATAATAAAATTAAAGTATAGACCCCCCAAAATTGGTCAATTTCTTCCTAATTTTAAAATTATTTGAACATATTTTTGTCGGATAACAATGAGTGTCGGTGGCGGCCCGAGGGCCAAAGGTAGAGGGCAGCATCGGGGAGGCACGAGGCACGCGTATCAGCGGGGGCGTAGCCGGGCGTAGCCGGGCGTAGCCGAAACGCACAAAGCTGCCATAACGGCCGAAAGGTTGGGGGTGGGGCGTTACGTTACAGCCGGGGCCGAGCCGACGGCGCGTAATTGAGAGTATTTGTTAGGTAAATGGCGGGGCTGCCGCGCGCGTTATGACTGCAGCCTCCTCGCCTCGCCCCTCTCCCTCAGGAAAGAATTCAATAACCTGCTGTTGCGATTTTCAATTCACTGGAAAACCTAACCTACAACCCACGTACGTAAACAACGCCGTTATTGGCAGCT